TGTATAGAGAATATTTTTAATAACATTGGTTATATACTAGCCACATAAAGAAACTGTGCATTGTCAAAATATTATCACAGTTGATAAGTACGATAATAATGTCAAAGGTACATATAAACTTTAATGGAGGGATCATGAGACCATAACAAGTCGGGAGAATTTAAACTGAAAAGTCAATCACAATGACGTCACGAGTCTACAAGCGGGACAGGGGTCAAACGACCATGTCACAAACTCAATAACGGGTATGTCCACCATCGGCATTGAGAACAGCAGTGCATCGACGACGCATAGACCCTATCAAACCTGCAAGGAAGGCTTGTGGGATGTCACGCCAGATTCTCTCAAGTTCTGTTGCAAGGTCAAGGACGTTATCTGGCGGATGAGGAAGACGGCGTAGACGTCGATCCATCTCGTCCCAAACATGCTCTATCGGGGAGAGATCCAGTGAATTTGCAGGCTAAGGCAGTAAGTCAACATTGTGGTGTTGCAAGAAATCCATAGCAACCCTTGCCGTATGAGGGCGGGCATTGTCCTGTTGGAATGCTAACCCAGGGCCATGACGTTGTAGAAAAGGAATTGCCACAGGTCGAAAAATCTGATCCCTGTAGCCCACACCAGTTAAGTTTCCCCTGACAATCACCAAAGGAGTTCTTTGGCGTGCTGTTATTCCACCCCAAATCACCACGGAACCATCACCAAAGCGATTCCTCTCCAAGACACAGGCCTGTGCATAACGTTCTCCCATGCGTCTATAGGCACGTTGACGTCCATCACTATGGGAAATGTTAAACTTGGACTCATCTGTAAAAACAACATTTCTCCACCAAAACAAGGGTCTGCGGACATGATTTCGGCACCACATTCGGCGAGCTTGTCGATGACGTTGTGTCAGGATAGGCCCTATGGCGGGACGTCGTGGTCTGATCCCGTGATGACGTAAACGTTGTCGAACTGTGTTGGGGTGGATACGGCAAAGTCCTGGGATAGTTCGGGCAGTCATCACTGCAGTCTGAAACCTGTGGCGAAGATGGGTCACCCTTATCCATCTGTCCTGTCTTGGCGTTGTTACACGTGGACGTCCAGAACGTGGCCGATCGATGACGTCATTTGTTTTCTGGTAGCGTCTCACCAGTGCAGAAATGGTGAGCCTTGGCATGCTATGCGTTTCAATAGCCGTTTAATTTTTTGAACGATCGCAAGGGCAGGGGTTGAGCTTTCCAAAGTTACAGTATTGTGTGGCATTCATTTGCTCTGTTTCTCTTTCCCGGACTGCACGTGCAACAAAGTATTGCACGTCTCAAGGACGAACCCACTGCCGTCACAGAACGTGGCACGTGCATGCATGTTGGATACATGTCACTAATCTCTCGGAGTTGAAATCCTTATGTTTCTACACAGGTTTGATAAATTTAGATTTAAATTTTTGTATGTACAGTTTCTTTATGTGCCTAGTATATATGGCTTTCACAGTCTCCTATTTCATCTTCCTGGACCAAAAATACAGCTCATTCCATTTTAAATGCAAATGCTATTCAAATCTGGAGCTCAGAGGTGGAAAATTCCAAAAAAGGTCAAACATATTCTCTTTTGAAATCTCAATTTAATTTTGAAAATGATCTAACGTCCCTACCCTTTAACAAAGTTATCCCCTTAGTACATTTTCATACTTCATGCCACCATTTACCAGCTGAAAAAAAGGAAGATGGAATAGGATACCAATAGATGAAAGAAAATGTAAATTATGTTATATGAATGATGTGGGTGATGAGTTTCATTATATTTTTAATGTATTTATACTCACAGAAATGAATAAGGGAACACATGAAAGTACAATTGTTCCTTTATTCTTTTCCAGGTTTCTTCACAAGGTATGTATTGCACTGTGGGTGAAATTCTGGAAATAAATAAAGGAACACTTGTACTTTCATGTGTTCCCTTTTTCGTTTCCATGAGTATATTTTAGAAAGGAAACATCAATGTACATACAGCTTCCTTTTATAAAAAGACCAACTGTACTGAACCGCAAAAGAAACGCCACACCACTAGAGGTTTCTTAAACCACACACTTTAATTTGCCCTAATCAACAATCAAATCCCACGATTGAGTTCAAACCTGACAATTATGGTCAAAATATTTTCGGGAATCACATTAAGAGTTCACACAAACAAAATCACCAAAAAGGTTACTATTAGGATACCTCAAAGTCAGTATCGTGTGTGGCCTCTATGGGCATCGATGGCGGCGTTGCATCGTCTCTACGTGGAATGAATTAGCTGGTTGATGAAGGCCATAGGCTCTTGAGTCCATACTCTGTGAAATGCCTGATCGAGTCCAGTCACAGTTGTCGGCCTTGGTTGGAGGTCATTCAGTCTTCTTCAAATCTCGTCCCAAAGGTGTCCTATTGGACTTAAATCTGGACTGAGTGCAGGCCATAGTAGGGTTTGGATGCCATGTTGTCTTATTAAGTCCAATGTTACTCTGACAGTGTGGGCACGAGCGTTTTCTTGCTGGAAGATGTGATTTCTGTGACGTCCAAAATGTGGTACAAAGTGGGGTTTTATGACTTGGTCAGTATAGCGAGTAGCTGCCACGCCATTTCCTCATCCTGGACTGAGAACCTGGAACACCACAGGGCCAACTCCCTGGTTCATTGCACCCCACACCATGATGCTTACTTAGACCATCCCATGAGTATCTTTCAAATACACTCATTGGAAACCGTTCCCAACACCTTCGCCATATTCTCACTCTGCCATCAGCTGTCGAAACACATTATCTGCTTTCATCAGATAAAGAGCACAGTTCTCCATTGTTGATAACCCAATTGCGATGCTGAGTTGCTCACTGCAATTGGTTTTGGCGGTGAGGAGTCCTGAGGACAGGATCATGATATGGTCTGTGACAGCAGAGGTTTCTTCCGCGCAAACGTCAACACACCGTATCGGTTCTAATGGGTCTGTTCTAATGAGTTCCAGTGGTCTGGTGTGCTGTTTTCGTCGCTCTGGGGAAGCGATCCTGCAGATGGTTGCGTACAATCTGTCGGTCTTGACATTGTGATGTTACTGAAGGTCCGTCTTGGATGGTGTTAGTGGCCTGACACCACTCCTGCAGTTGGTAGATTGTCCTAACATGAACATTAAAATGATTGGCTACCCTCCCTGCAGTCTGACTAAAGTACTGTCGGAAATGCTAGAAAAATCCTTTTTGACTTTTATGTAAAAATCACAGATATTACAGTTACTTAAATAACAAATATCACTAAGAAACATCTACCTAATGTAGACCGAGGGAATAAATTTTGAGACGTGCCCTAAAATGTGTTTTTACATATGAAAATATAAAAAACTAGAAAAATAAGGAGTAGTGGAACATTATTTGATACTAACATTAACTGCCTGTGTTATGTCATCAGCATGCACGGTACCAACAGGTGAAATTGACACTTGAGCACAGCTAGGGTGAGGGGTCATCTCAATACATTTTCTTCTTCATAATGTTGAATATGTGTCCGTATAGTATACGTATTGGTTATGAACGGGATCATGTGATATCCACATTTCGCACACCACCAACACCTATAGATATATTTATTTATATATGTGTGTTTGTTTTGAAATAAACATACGAATTATTGTGCATGAGAAAGAATCCCATCACTTGTTATTTTATTGATTGATTGTAGAAATGTGCAACGTTTTAATAAACGTTTTGCATGTCAACAGTATATTTCTTTGCAAAAATATGGATGTCAATTTAATCCAGTTGTGAACATTGGCCAAAGATTTAACGAAGTCAGTGGTATAGCTTCTTTAGAACAGATATATTGTCAGCGATGAGATCTGGCTATGTCGAAGTTGAAACGGATGAGCAATGATAACTTGTTACCTTGTTGTTTGTTTGCTGGAAAGTCACTGTATGAAAATAATCAGTTAATCAAAGTAAATTTATGATGGCCCGATGTGTATAAAACCAACTGTGTGAACGAAAATTTAACTCGATGCAAGTACACATTTTACTCAACTATAACAGACATTGGAATGAAGACCAGTAGAACACTTAATCCGAATGTGACGAGTCTGAATCTGTGTCTTGGTGCACTGGGATCACAACAGGTGTCACAACACTGATGTCCACTCTGTCACGTTACGGTATTGGCGTTCAATGTCATGGACGTGGGCCTCTGCCTTCTGCCAAACGATGCATGGATCAACTCCTTCACTTACGAGAGCTTGAAGGTAGTGTTGTTCCTCACAACGAACCCTTTACAGTTTGCCCAGATAACTTAGATTGTGTTCAGTTCACAATGTCTCACAGGTGAACGTAACACAACGTGACCGTGTTGAGCAGCCATCGGCCCTGTACTGAATGGGCTTCCTGTTCATGCGGATCTTCTCCATCAGCTGTATCTTTGTGTCTGCCGATCTGTAGTGAACACTACACGATGTGAGGAAATCCTGCATCGTCTTCTTCAGGCTTCTCATTGTCAGTGTGATGCTACATGTTTCCCGAACATTATGGTAGCTGGCATTGTCCATCACTATGACAGTGGGCTGATAAAGATTGGGCAAAAAGCTGATGTTCCATCCAAACCATGAAGACATCTCCGTTCATCTCCTGATGGTAATCTCCACTTGATTTCTTTGCCTCAAAGACCAACTCGCAACCGTTGATCAAACCTGTGTCTCAGCTTCCTGCATAAAGTACAATCATTCGGTTGCCCTGCCCAGATGGTACCACTGGGGCTCTCTGTCGGTCCGTAGAATGGTTCTTGTTGACCCAAGTTTCATCCAGGTAAACTATCTGGAAGCCAAGGGCACGGTACTCTGCCACAGTTCTCAAGTAAAGGGTTCTCATGGACCCAATAAAGACAGCTCTGTTATCACCACGGCCTTTGTACTTGAACCCCATCTCATGGAGGGCAATGATGAGGGTGGTTCTAGAGACGTTGATACTGTCCTTAATTTCCTCTCTGATACTCCTACATGTAGGTGGAATCTTCTTCTCATAAAGTTTGTAGACCGCCCGTCTAATCACTCCCTTGTCAAAGTTATCAAGGATGGTTTTACCTCCCGGTTTTGGTTTTGAGACGGTCCCTGTCTTGGAAGATTTGTTTACAATATTGTAAACTTGTTGGTAAGATATACCAACAGCTCTACAAGTTCTGTAATAAACCCTTTCTAAACTCTGTCTTTCTCAAGCACAAAAAACTTATAAACCTTTGCAACAATCGACTGCAAATCGTTGGCCATAGTAAACATTGTGATAAAGACGTGCATGCATGACAGGAAACTTATTTATTAAGATTTAAGATTTATCTTCATTTTTCTTCAATGAAGAAACGATAATTAAGTCAAGTAGCACAAACATTCAACATTTATTTGTTTAAAAGAAACGTTTATTTATATTTTTGCACCACCTGTATTATTAGCTAATAATACAGGTGGTGCAAAAAATATAAATAAACGTTTCTATTTTAGATTTCTCATATTTAACTGAAAAAATCTTGAGTTGTTGATTTGGTACGAAATTCTCTCCTGTAAACTGCCCGTTAAATGCATGGGAATGTTAAATAGATTGAAATAAAAATTAGGTACACTATAGGCGAGTTGATATGTTGACAACATAGTACATTTATCACCTTTATCAAAGTATTAAGGCTAAAAAGCATTTTTCTAGCATTTCCGACAGTACTTTAGTCATCCCAAGGCTTGGTTCCTCTGATATCTCTTAAGTCGTGGCATGGCGATTGTGTCAAAACAAGGATGATTTCAGGTGAGTTTGGGACTCATTTTCATTGGTAGGGTTGTCACGCTATGCTCATGCATTTTCATTTTCATTATTGTCATACCAACCTTTTACCACGTCTGCATTTTTAGGTGAGTTTGGTAGATATGCTTTTTCATCAGAAAACACACTGATTTTTGTAATAACTGTCAATTTGGATTGCAAAACATGTTAACAATCTGTTACAATCATAAAAAATACGGCACCTTGTCAGAAAGAGAATTTGCATTAGGTTTTGAAAGGTTGCGTTTCTTTTTTGGTTCAGTATATGTTAGTGACATTACAATTATTTGCACGATAATCGAGCAAACAAAAGATGTCGAAAACCCATAACACATTGATATGTTTATTAAAAGGAATCAAAATCATCTGAATTTTAAACTCATCCTCACGGTTTGTGGACATCAGGCATGTCCTTGCTCTGTGAAATGAGGCTGTATTTACAAATGATCCTGGAAAAGAATTGTACCTCATATGCCGAGGATATCAGCCTGAGTGTAATAAAGTTCTGTTCTGTATTCAACAAGGAAGCTGTCCTAGACTTCTCATCCTCTGAGTGTCAGTCGTAGTCACACTTGTGATTGGTTGCTTCATAAATCCCCTTTGTTATACTCAACACAAATTTCCAGGGAGTGGGTGGTCCCAAATTACGTGATTTCTTATGTGAGGCCCCTTTCGGTCTTCAGGCCCAGACTGTCCCTAGTATCCATATCATTACAACTTGGTAAGCTCTATGTTTAATGTTCTATGTTAGCTCTATGTTCCAATCCTAAGCAGCTGATCCTCAATTTTATATCGTAAACTGAAATAAGTTCTAAATACGATGTTTCTCTAACTTCCGGAAGTTAACAGCCTTTCAACGTAGTCTCGTGAGAAAAAACGAGATCTCGTCCCCATTTCTCTGGCATCCAAAAGTCTTACACTTACCTTTTACGCTCTTTGAGTTTCAGCCTTTACAAAAGTTATTATTTCGTCTTTACGTACGTTACTAGTTTTTTTCTTGTAGGGGAAGTGTCCCTTTACATTTTTGGGTACTTGGTTTGCTCGTACCGTTAGTGTTCGCTGTTGGTCGAACTGTCTTTATGCCTTATAGTGCCTAGCCAAGAGGCAGAACAATCAAGCCAAGTGGCAGAAAACAGTGTTCAAATCACTGCAGATGGTTCCTTTGAGGAAGAATCAAACCGCGGTCGTAAGAGAAAACGAGTGGACTGGAAAGGTTTCATGATACCGAAGAAACGTGATCAGGCGAAGGCCGTTTTGAGGTCATCTAGCAGCGATGTTTCAGATTCATACGATTCGAGCAGTGTTTCGTCTGATTCGTCAAGTCCTACGTTTTCCAGTGATTCAGACTCTTGTGTTGAAATCATCCAAAAGAAATCAAAATCTAAATAGAAGAAATAGTGCCACTCTTGGAAAACATTACGTGACACGAGATCCAAAATGGCGGACGAGTATGTTCGTTTTCAGCCGTCAACTACGAAAGTGAGTTCTACCATTGCTGATGACATGGTTGATTATGCCTCGAAACTATTCACTACCTATGAGAAAGACCAGGTGTTAGATACCTCGATTCTTGAGGAAAACCCAGTGCCCGAAGGTATTCGGGTCCAGAAATTGGACGATGAATGGCAGGACATGCTAGAAGAAGGCAAATATGCGTCTGTCAAAGCCACAGAAGCTGCCCTAAAGCATATTCAGACGCGAATCATGAACGTCATGGGGCCCCTAACTAAAACATGGGCTATTATGGAGAATGTTAGGAAACATGGAAGTGAGAATTTAGAAGTCCATGATTTTCTGGCCCTAATAGAGAAATCTGTGTGTTTGCTGGGACAGGCAAATGTTGTGACTGTTTTTCACAGGAGACTTAACATCCTGGCCAAAATAATGAAGAATCAGAAGAAAGCCCAGCGATTCTTGACTAAGAATGCTAAACATCTCTCTTCAAAGAAATTGTTTGGGAAGACATTCTACAAGAAATTGGATAAAGTATCCAGAGAACGCAAGAAGCGAAAGTCAATTGAAAACCAGTTCACCTTTTCTCATAAGAGACCGAAGCTGTTCAAGCAAGACAGAGAGGTGACCTTTCAAGCACCCTTTCAAGGGAGGCCTCCCGTCAAGAACAGAGGCGGAGGCCGATTTCCTTATGCCAACCCAGTCACTTACAGTCGACAGCACAGCAGAGGCCGCCTCAACAGTTATAACAGAGGCAGAGGTTCAGGAAACAACGCCATGCCCAACAGCAATCAAACCAAAAGGTATGTCACTTTCATTATCAAACCCACAAATACTGCATGCTCAGCCTCTGAAATATCCCATGAATATCCCAGTGTCACAGAACCAGCCTCAAATAGATCAGTTAACCCTTCTAGACATACACTCAACAGAAATTGGTGTGTGTGTGTGTGTGTGTGTGTTTCGTGGGGTGGGCGGGCATCAGACACTTTGTAAGCAATTGGGAGAAGATAACCAAAGACCAAACCATATTGCAAACAGTAAAAGGGTGCAAAATAATGTTCAATCAAAGACCATACCAGAACAACCCGGTCGCACAATGTCCAGTCAAGACAAACAGATCATGTCAACAGAGATAGACAAAATGCTACAGATGGGGGCAATTTGCAAAGTCCTACTGAACAATTCGCAATTCTTGAGCACAATCTCTGTAACAGACAAAAAGTCAGGAGGATACCGACCAGTATTCAATGCCAAATGATTGAACAAGTTTGTGACTTATCAACATTTCAAGATGGAAGGAATGGTGACAGTCACAGAGATGCTGATGGAGAACAATTATATGATAAAACTAGATCTGAAGGACGCATATTTCTGCGTACCAATACACAACAAGCACAAGCAATTTCTGTTTCCAATGGGAAACAGAAACTTACCAGTTTCAATGCCTTCCATTCGGCTCGGCATCAGCACCCAGAGTTTCCACAAAACTCATGAAGCCCGTCATATCCATACTCAGACGTCTGGGCATGAGGATCGCAATTTACTTAGACGATCTGATTATCACCAATCAGAATCAGGAACACCTTATCATGGACAAAAACTCTGCCATCTTACTACTGCAGAAACTGGGCTTCGTGATCAACTGGAAAAAGTCCATGTTAGAACCATCACAACAGATGGAGTTTTGGGGGTTCAAAATAGACACGAAGAAAATGACCTTAGCATTACCGTCAAACAAAACAGACAAAATAATACAGGAATGCAGAACAATGATCTCCCAGAGGAACACTACAGCACGAGAGTTATCAAAACTAATAGGGATGTGCACAGCTTCAATAATGGCAATTCTACCAGCCCCTTTGTATTACAGGAAACTGCAAATGTTGAAGACACGAGCATTGTCAACAAAGACAATACGACGACAAGATAGAAATCTCAGATGTGTGCAAAGAAGAACTCAAATGGTGGATAGACCACCTGAACGAGTGGAATGGAAAGTCATTCATCAACCCATCTCCAGACCTAACGATCACCACAGACTTATCCCTATTAGGTTGGGGAGCAGTCTGCCAATCACAAATGACGGGGGGACGGTGAAGCCCAGAAGAACAAGTGCATCACATAAACGCACTGGAATTGAAGGCAAGCCTACGAACCATACAAACATTTGTGAAAGCAAAATCGCAAATACAAGTTCACATCAGAATGGACAACAAAACAGCAGTGGCTTACATCAACAAGAAAGGCGGAACGAGGTCCATTGTCCTAGTCAACCTGGCCCAACAAATCTGGGACTTCTGCATAGAGAGAAGATATCATTAACAGCAGAATACCTCCCAGGGAAGGAGAATCCGATGGCAGACTGGGAATCCAGGCATTTCACAGATCCAGCAACTGGATGCTGAAGAAGTCAGTATTCGATCAGATCAATCGATTAAGGGGAGCATTGCAAATTGATCTATTTGCAGACAGATTAAATTACCAATTTGACATTTACGCCAGTTGGAGACCAGACCCCCACTGGAGTAGTTGGTGTGTTGAAAGGGAAGTTGATCCGTTTCAAGCCATTTTGGCAGATATAATCAACTTCCTCAGTGACACTTCGATCAGCTATTTCTTAGATACATCCTAAAATTAATGGGATACCAGTAGGTCAGTATGACGCTATCAAAGAAACAATGACTGCCATTTTCAATGAGAGACCACCAGCCCGCAAATACTCTGACATCTGGGATGTTGGAATAGTACTGAACTACATTTCAAAACTAGGGCAGAATGAGGCTTTACCAGACAAAACCTTGACGCACAAACTAGCTATGTTACTAGCATTGACTAACGCTAGTCAAGCTTGTGAGATACACAGCATCAATCCAGAGCACATTCAGGATTTGGGAGATAAAGTTGAAATGACTTTAATCAGACACACAAAAACTAAGAAAGTTGGTTTCAAATCAGAGAAAATAACTCTGTATCCGTTCACTCAAACGACTCTGGATCCGATTATCACACTTAAAGCCTACTTAAAACGGACAAAACATTGGCGTACAAACACAGAACAAAAACAGCAACTCTTCTTAGGGTACACGGCTCCACACAAACCAGTCGTTACATGTACCGTTTCCAATTGGTTGAAGAACATTATGTCACTGGCAGGGATTGACGTGGACAAATTCCAAGCTCACTCAACCAGGGCAGCGGCTACATCGAAAGCCAAAGCTCAGGGAATGTCTGTAGAAGACATAATGAAATGTGCCAATTGGTCTAAAGCAGGCATATTTAACAGGTTCTACAACAAACAAATTGATGGTTCGGATACAAGTTTATTTGCAAAAAAAGTACTACACAGGTAACTTTCAACCATCGTATTTAGACCTTATTTCAGTTTACTCACAAAATTATAATTTCATTTCGCATGCTACGCATGCTTATAAAATTCCCCATTATTACCCTGCATAACCCAAGCTGCCTGTTAAGCACTAGAAACTGAAATAGTCATATGACATCTCCCACCAGGTACACAGTTTCTGCTGGGTGAACAGAGCCAATTTTGAAGAAACTCACTTGCATAAGGTGAGACAACATGAGTGCTCGTAAGAGTAGAGGATAGTGAATAGTGTGGATCACCTCACCGGTTGATCACATCTGAAATGCTATGGTGGTTCAGTTCTCTGACAGGGCAAAGCGACAGTTTTTCTGTATCATCAGGCCCAAGAATCGTTGACAGCAGTGGAATAGTAAAAAGTCTATCTGGCTGTCCTGGCAAGTGATTCTTCACTGTAAAATCAAATTGGAGACCAAGGAAAACTTTGGTGTTCTTCCGCTTAAACTGACACAGTTCACATACAGCACATGGTGTCTCAGTACTATTGATAGATCCAACAATGGTGGACGAAACTTTCTGGATTGATCTGCCAGCTAGTAAGAGTGCAACGAGGATTGGAGTTCACTCACATTTTCAAACTTTTGTAGCAGTCACTGTAGCTACAAATGTGTTAATCACACCTTTAACAAACAGAAGTCAGGGCTTTTCAGGCCAGAGACATTGTGACTATGGCTCATTTCTAAAGTAATGTTCCAGAGGTTATTCAAAGCAGATTTATAGCATACAACATCCTCTTGATCTCTTTACCCAAAAGAACCAGTTCCGATCATCAGTGGTGAATTGTTCCATACACTGTGTGAAACCTATTCACATGGGTGCTCTCTATTGAGAACATTGGAGATTATATACTATTCACACTTTGCTGAGGATCAAATCATTGATTCAACAGAAAACTATGATGTGGGGTCTAATTTGGTTTAAATATCTAAGCTTATTGTAATCATGAATCCTAGGTTTCAGTATGTCACTGCATCTGGTGGATCCCATACCTGCTATTGACATGTGTTGTTTATTTGTCAATGACTTGTTCCATGATTTGCAAAATGGTTGATTGGTGCCATGAAAACCTTTTTTATAGTTCCTCATATCAAGTGCATAAGGTTAGATTAAAGTGGCTGTTTGCCTAAAGAGGGGTTACCATGTCATTATTTATCTAGTTTTAAATGGATACAATTTCAAATTATAAATCTATGTTTAGTAAAGTTGGGAATTCTTGTGATCCTTAGCAAAGTGTGAGTAGTATAGGTCTTTGAATGGCATTCAGAAGTGATACACATAAGGAAGAGAGATTTTATGGATGTCAACTTCTATATTATGAGGAACAATGCAAACATATACTCCGAAATGTTGTGTTCCTCCTAATAAAGAAGTTGACATCCATAAAAACTCTTTTCCTTATTGGAGATTATATACACCATCCCAAACTTGAATAAGTGCCTTGAATCCTGCATCAAGGAATGTGGATATTTGACAGAACAAAGTGATAATGGCTGTAACCTGATCCTTGATGAAAAAAGTTGATATTCACTGATGAAATGCTCTTGGATAGATGCAGTTTATCAGCTATCCATGTCAACAAAGACACTGTGTCAATACTCTTGATACTACACAAGAGTTGAAGGAGGATCGGTTTGTTTCACATTCTTATGAGCAATGCACGTTGCTTGGACCACTGTCTACTGTAGGTAGGATGGTTGAGTGTACTGTAAAAATTTCAGTGTATGATTCATGGAAAAAAGAAGTATCTGGACAAAAAAGGGGAAATTTTGTCTCAACAGTAAATATGACTGCATAATTTTCAGCACCCTACAAAGAAGCATTTGAATTTACCATATCTTTCTCTTTTGGACTGAACTGCAATATTGTCATAATGGCCTTTAACATCTGCTTTTTGCCACTTTTATCTGAGCTTATGAGAAAATTATACACTACATTTTTTAAGTACTCCAGATTGGCATTTTCTCGCGTGACATTTCTTTGCTGTTTCCATAGTTCTTCTGTTAACTTCTCATTTTCTTCTCTGAGTTTATCTTGCCTTAGGGTACTGGCATGTTCGATATCCCTTAATGCTCCTTCTAACTGTCTTTTATGTTTCCTCAAACTTGACAGCTCCACATCCCTTCGTGCCTGTTCTTGGGAAAAGTGTAACAGCAAAGTTTCTCCCGGATGTCCATGTGACTGAGCAAGAAGTTCTTTCACTGCATCTTTCCCATCAGTATCTTCTTGCTTGCCAGGTTCCATGGCAACATCTGAGCATTCATTCATATCACTGACATATTCTGGGTTCACATTGTGACTTGTAAAAGTTTTCAGTGCTGCGATTTCTCCATCCTTCTCTGCTAACATTGCAATGGTCCTCTCCCTCTGCTTCTTTAATTCATACTCCATTTCCTTGATTTGTTTGGCATGTTGAGATTTAATTGTTATGAGTGTTTGTCTGTGTTGTTCCTGATCTGCCTGCAGTGTTTTACTTAGGTGGTTGATTTTCAAATCTTTGGCTTCTATGACCTCCTTATGCTCCTGGTGACCTTGCCTTAGTTTCTCTCGCAGTTGGCTGATTTGATCTTTCAACATCTCCAGATCTTTGTTGGATGAATCCTGCAACAAATCAAAGATCATGTACACAGTGCATTGGAACAGATGAAATGTTCAGACAAAAATGTGAAAAAATCAGGAGTAAATTTAGTTCATTTTAAACATAGCATCATGGCTTACCTGACTAGTGACATTTTTCATATTGTGCACATGAACAAGATCAGGGTGAAATTCAAGGTTTTCAGTGAGACGTCTCAGCATGTTGCTGTACATTTCAGTGATAAAAAAACAACAGAAATTTGTTCTGATATTGTCTGAAACTCAAGTGGCAGCATGGAAACACTTTCTAATTTTTCCTAAGGTACTCTGGGACTACTGGGCCATTTATGGGTGGGCCTAAACCTCACATATTAGAGGTAGTATTCTAAGAATTATTATCATTGTTGATAATGTTAAAAATTCTTATGAATACATAATAATATCCAGGTAGCCATGAATCATCTAGATGGAATTCCCCTGACACTTACATCTTAACTGTTTCTCTTAACTCGGTCCTTGGTTTTTCATGATATGAGCGGGTAGCACGATTCACATGCATGTGGATTGTGTTTGGCAAACCCTTTCAAAATGAAAACTTGTTTTTCATTACCTATTCAATGGCACCATTGACATATGATCATCATCGATAGCTACATTACTAAGATGAAATATATCAGGGGGTTCTTATTAAGTTCCATGTGTATATATGCTAATCAATTCTGGAGGTTGGGGTTTGATTGATGCAGTGGCTCTTCATGATAGAATTTTATTGTGTACTTTTGCACATATTTATTCATCAGATGACCCTCTGGTGATGCATGTCAAAGACTCATGAAGAAAACAAGGCGTTCCACAGCTATTTTAAGCATGTAATGGCTGGACAAAATCTCAAAGTTGAAGTTGATTTTGTTGATGGTGATGGACTGTGGGACAGAATAGTGATGGGGATAACCAGGTGAAGTTATTCACCAAGTTTGCCCAGAATCGGTCATTAAAGGAGCAGCTTTCTGGGAAACCACTGCATCATGTATATATGTAGGATTTAGATCTATGGCGGGTTTCCTAATCTGTTTGATTGTTCAATTTTTACATGACGTCTTTGCATAATGATGTCATTACGCGATAACATAATCGCTAACCGTTCCCGATGTTATTCGACACTAACCGTTCATGGCGATAATAATCTCAGGAAAATCTTCAAAGCTAAGAAAATGGGAACCATAGAAAATGATGGTTTTGTAATTGCAGAGCCACCTACAAAGAAGAAGAAACCTGTATCAAAAGATCCCAATGCAGAAACATTTTGGAACAACATGGAAACAATATGTGAGATTACAAAACTGAAAACGCTTAATCCAAAATGGGGAAGTGTAATGATTTGCAAGATCTTCTTGTTTGCAGCCAATGAAAGAATGGTAAGGAATATCCTTGAGAATTATTTCTTTGACGAAACATCACAAGTGATTTTTAAGAAAAGTGTTGAATAAGACACCCCACATCGGCCATGTTGCACTAAAGAAGAAATGGTAAAAATCATTGTTAAAAACCACACACTGGATCGGCGGCCATTTATTAAAGCATTCGCCGCTCTGTTTTCCCGGTTGTACGGGAAGCTGTTAAGGTGTTGTTTGACATCAATGTAAAATGTGAGGAATGCAACAGTGCAGTGAATTTACCCAAAACCACCCGGACGAGGAAGCCAATTCCTGCGACTTATCCTAACTCCCGGTAGCAAATAGATCTTAAGAAGATGCCCACCTAGAAAGGGTTCAACTATGTTTGTAACATTGTGGAGTGCCTTTCCCGGTTTGCACTCTGGAAAGCTGTTATAGTGACTAATTCAGGACAGCCATCGTCCAAATATTTAAAAAGTCCCAAAACTATGTAGCCAAGAAATGTGAGAGAGTTATTGTAAAAAATTTATTCTGCATTCTTAATCCCTATCACTACCGCAGGTGGTTAATGTTTTTGTAAGGTTCAAATCATAGTTCATCCCTTTGCCTGCCCGGCAGTTAATGCTATGCACCTGTGTCGATATGCTAAATTTATTCGATGGGAGGTTTCTGTTATATCACATTTTCTATCTATGATATCCCCCCACAAAAAAAATGGTGATTTCCAAAAATTTCCAATTTGAAAATATCATTTCCAAAAATTGGAAAATTAGGAAGGATTTTACCACTACTTCTTTCAGTTTCTCCTTTACCCAAGGATCCCCATGAGTGTGTAGACTTACTATTTCATGCATCTTTTGTTCTGTAAGAGTTCTTACTGTTGATATACATAATGCATCTTGCATATGACATATCTATTTATGAGAACTGCAGGAATATAAGCAGTATTTTGATATTATCCATTTGTGCTTTATATTAATGTAACTGCATCTGATGCGTGAAGAGATACATTTTTGAAAGTTGGGATCTTGTTTAAAGGAAGTGTTTTCTATTCGTCGTCCTATGCGATCAACTAGGAACCAATTCTATATACAGTATTCACTCATCTGCATCCTTCTCGTTCTAAGTGTCAAAAATTGATATTGACTGTTATATTTGCCCCTAGTATGGCTAGCATATTCCAAAATACTGTTTTAAGTGCATGTTTTACTTGTTATCCACAGAAGCGCAAATATTTTCCTCTGTCACGGTTTGTATAAACACAAATTACATAGACCTACATTACATCATGGACTAAATATACGTTTACCGGACTCACTGACTGACTGGACAAGGTTTATTACATGTCATAAAAGTGAACCCTTGCCTGGGAATAAAAAACAATCTCTAATTGGTACCCTCTAATTAACCCCTGCCACAAGTGATGGACTGTTTGGGTGGTTTATCATTGCGTAATCAACAGTCAACAAAGCATGAAATGTTGTTTTAAGACTAGGCGAATAGGGATGTAGGCGAATAGAGAACAACCCATTTGGGTTTGTGGTCAGAGACGGTGTTATGCAATTGGTGTATTCACGAAATATCATGAACTTGTTAATAGATAATTGGTTATGTTGTCCACACACGGGTGGACTGAGGCAAAAAAACAACCCAAATGAATTCCTTCTTAAAAACTTCATAGTGTAACTAATTAATTTGGTTATTTACAATACAAAGTGACTGAATGTTTAATACATTATTAAGTTTAGATCACGTTAAATAATTTCTAGAGAAATCAGTACACAAGTTCATATTATACAGATGTTTCCAGAGGCAAATAGTTTATGAGATTCTAGTTTAACTTTATGAAAAGCATGATATTCCAAAATAAGCAAGCCAATCTGATCTTTAATGCTCAGGAATTATTACCACTTACATGACAATTATAGTCTGAGAAGGTGTAGGCTCAGGAAACCGACCTTTCGATTCTTATAAGGCTCAGGACGTCGACAAGCGGTACGCTTTGAAGTTTGGGTGATATAAAATGGCTAATCTCATGTGACGTGTTATTACAAGGCTGATGGTTGATGGAAGTGAACACATCGCACACGGAAGCCGATCGTGTCAAAACATGATCAAAACATGATAATGATGAACACATTTAAAGGGGCACTGATCCAGAGCAATTTCCATGGACTGGTTGTTGCTTTTGCTACTGTTTTTCTCACCTGAGTACCCGGATGATATCCCAGTATTCTTGACTGGTCCGTGATCACTGTTGCGCCACCCGCATGCACAATAGATAGTATAGGTATAGATTGATGAACAAAAATGAAATCTTTTTTACTCAATAATATTTCCATGTATTTCTTATGCAACAATGAAGTTCTTTTCATATCCTCCAAACAGTGTCGGCCCATAAGTTTTTTCAGGCAAATTAAATTGCATGTAATATAGCGAATACTACTCCCTTGTTGTAACCCATGCTTGGTGGTAGAAACGCTGATTGATTAATTGCTTTTATCTTGCACAGCGGATTTGTCAAAAGGTAGTGTTTATGTATGTAGATTTACTAATCTATACTGAATACACCCTGTTGTAAAGTACCTGTGTAAAAACAACGTCTTTCCTTCAAAGGATTAACCGCCAATACGTTGATTGATTGCTCATTATTGGCTAACTAAATTACTTTTTTAAAGAATGGTGGACATCATGCAATTAGTTGCCAGGTGTGCTATCTTGGGTGACCAATGGGACTATATACCGATGTGAAAAACCTGAAACAGTGACGTGATCAGTTGAGAAACTACCACTAGTTATCAATCAATCAATCGTTTATTCCACCATGGCTACGTGAAATGCTCGAATTTGATTGGTCAGTCAATAAAATCAGACGGTATCAATTTGGATTGAAAATGCGTCTGATTTCACGGCGCTTCACTCCGCATGTATACAACACTGTCGCACGACTTCAGCTTGGCCACCAACATGACTAATATCAACACAACAGACGTGATGGAAATGAGAAATTCGCACGATAACGGTCTTGCGAAACACAAAATATTAGCCACTCATACTCCATCATGTCCCGTTGCATCGTTCAAAATGTCAAAAATTGAACCACGAGAATTCCGCTCTCTGCCTCCTTGCCTGCAAGGCTGTCACTGCTATATTCGTACACTTTGAAAAGCTTGGCCACAATTGTGTCCCAAATGATGAGAACAATGTTGCAAGGAATCCCAAGTTAGTCGCATGTACACAAAGCAGCACTGTCTGTCACTCTTTCGTCGCATGCCCGGGTGGAGGCACGTACGTGAAATCATGATCGACACTTGCCAGTCATAAAAATTAACAGTCTTTGAAGAGTTACAGGTCATAGGTCGATCAGAAAAAGATGTATTCTTCGATTCTGCAGGGTTCAGGTTCGACAGTCAGTCAAGTATTTTCCACTGTCACTTCGAATTTCAACCTTTCGCAAAATGTAAACACTGGCTCGTCCGCCATTTCAAACTGTTGCGTAACTGTCTACTTCTAAGAAAATAAGTAGGTCAGACGATTCCATTATAGTGTGGCCAGGGGGGTACAGTAACACGGGACACAAAACAATAGGCTGGTTTCGGTCGTGTGGAGTTATGAGTATAAAAACCAAGTTCTTAGGTGTTACATTATTGCATTGAATAAACAGTAGTTTGTTTTCTTTGGACAGAATATTTTTTATGTTGCAATGTTAAAAAAAATACGAACGGCACCTACCACTCCCTTCACAGACGATTTCAATGCGCCTCTTGTCCCATGCCGGATTACGCAGTGTCTTCCGCAGGACGAGGAAGTTCGATGTTAAATCAGTTATGGTAGAATGGAGATAAACATACTGTGTTTGGAAATTAGATGAATGTTAGACTGAATTGATTGTCTCTAAATTAATCATTTGAAACCTCATGCTACGCGTTCGGCTTCAAATGAAATTTACAGACTATCAATTTGGTCTAACATTCATCTAATTTTCAAACACAGTACGTTTATCTCCTAATTCCGCATATGTGGCCTCCGGCCCATATACAGATGATGCAACAGGTTGGCATTTGCATGTTACAAACTTTAGTATCTCAGACGTAGTGCACAGTGAAAATAATGTTGTAGCTTAATAATAATGTTTGTATCATTAGATGCCATTAGGTTGATGAAACTAGTTTTTATATTATAGGATGTACAGACAAACAGTAGGTATTTAGATCTTAAGCTTTCATATGCTGGACATATCATAACAAAATGAAATTCATCTTCAATCATGGCTAACTTACACACTTTACACAGTCGCAGTGACCACTAGTTATAACGACATATCACTTTTTCACATATTAGACTGTTAAAAGACACATGACATGGAATGGGATTCTTTGTCAGCTGCAGATGAATGGCATCTCATTCCTTTATGTTGATATTGGTGGATACATTCCTCGAACAAGGTAATAGCCTGACATAGTTGCTATAACTTTTGTCTGTTTTAATTTTAATATTTGCATTCTGTTTTTCTTCATTTGTTGTAGCATTCAACAGAATCATTTTTTCGCCGTGAAGTGTAATGAGACAGACAACATAAACTAGGTCGCACTAAGGGCGTGTGTGTGAATATGATTCTCGTTGGCAATCTATAAAATGTCTACATATTACAGTCATGTTATAAATTCACTATAAGTATAAGCAGATTGTGTGCCTTTTATTAAGTTTCAAAATGCATACAAATATGATGATAAACTAATTAGGATCATAAGACAAAATACTAAAATACAAAGACGTACATTGACTTCGTTATTTTTCAGTCCTAACATGCTTTACCACCGGCAGATGGTTAAACTTAAAAATGTTTTTTTTAATTATCATAATAATGAAGATGGAAATATTATTGAGAAAAAAGATTCCATTTTTTGTTGTTGCTCAGTCTATAACCTTATACTATCAATTGCGCATTTTGATGGTGCAGCAGAGGTCACGGACCAGTCAAGAATTCTGGGATATCATCCGGGTACAAAAACAAAAACAAAAGCAACAACCAGTCCACGGAAATTGCTCTGGATCAGTGCCCCTTTAAATATCGAGGTAAAAAAACACAGAAATAAGATCAAATTGGATCAGTCACTATACCATCTATGCATTAGAAAATCTAAAAAAGCCTACACTACTGGGATACTTTATTGCAGTCAAACAGGAACTATCGGGGGTATTTTCAAATAACGGCATCTGATGGGCATCCACCCTTCCTAATGTCCCGCTGTTTAGGTTGAAGAAATTTTGTCAAGGTGGCCAGAAGCCCAGTCCCTGTGTCCATCATGGTCGAGGGAGCAGATACTGAACAGCTTGCAGCTTGGTTTCGTAATAAGACTGTTGGCGAGAAACATTAATCGCGCTGGATCAGTGCCCCTCTAACTACATGGGGATATATAATGAGAAGAAGCATGAAAGTGTACATTTGATTTCGAAATGGCTAATGCTCAGCTTGAACATAAGTATATTCCTACCTCTTGTTGGTGCAATATGCTGGAGGCCAGACAACCCACGAAGAAGAAATACCGATACCTGGAACGTCGTCTTCAAGAACTGAGACACCAGGTTCAACTGGTCAGACAGTTTGCTGATTCAGCGTCTCTTCTTTTACATCTTTAATTATGTTTTAATGTACGTATAAATGTGCATGTATATTTAAAATTTTGTAATATTTTGTAACATTTCGTAATATGATGTAATATAGCTATTTATAATTCCTGTAAAATGTAGCATGTTGTAACATGGTTAAATAAATCTGTCCATATAGTCCCCCGTTAGCACTCGTGGCTTATGCCTTGTATGTGTTTTATGTTTTAATGTATATATACTAAGTGAACTGAGACTGAAATAAACACTATCTTTATACATATATTTGGCTTGTTATATCATTAGGTGTGCTCTCAGCCACATAATCCGGATTATCCTCTTCTAACAACACGTAGGCCCATCATTCTCTCTATAATCCAATGTTATTTGCTAACGGACGTGAAGTTTGGACCAAAGGTCGACGTCCTGAGCCCTAACCGTTAGAGAAGAGTGTTCAAATCTGCAGTTGCCTGCTGTTTAATGCGACTCTTAAAAGGCTTGAAGCGACATTTGCATGTTCATCTTTTGATGATTGATATAAAATATGTTTCCGTAGTGACACCCGTGCCAAAAGAACTTTTTTTTTGTTTAGAAAATGTTAAAACCTGCCAATCGTAATCCAATGCTTGTTTGATCGGCATTCTTACAGTACGACTTTACAGATGCCGATTTCTTGTTGATGCATAGAGAGGAGTTTCCATGTTTATTCTCACGCCGTTATCAAGACAAAAGTTACTACAACCAGGTGAATACTAGTAGAAGTATATATGCATAGTGACAAGCAGTAAATTAACAACAACAGGTAATTTAGCAAGTAGCACATCGTTGGTCGGGGCCAGCAGGAGAGTAAGATCAACAAATTGTAAACAGGTTGATTGGATGCTAGTTGAACAGCTAATTGACAGATTCTATCTGTAGTCTAAATCCACGCCATTGTCCAAGTAATGGAATCAATCAACATTCAATCAGCTTGTTTATCCTGAACGATGTACAATGAAATGCTGCTCTATTCAATAACCAGGGAGTTGTTATCACGCAAGTGGTACAGTACCTGGCCATAAGTATACGTGATTTTGACGTTCACAATGTCATGCGCACGGGAAAAGGAGGGGAAACTCAAACAACGTAACTTGATAATGCTTGAAAGTCTTACCATAATATTTTGTCAGTTGACCCTTCATATGCAGCACTTCCGGTGCACGGTCAGGTAAAGACCGATATAAGTCTCTAACATAATCAAGTGAGAGCTTTTCCCACACATGCAGAATTTCTGCGTAAGGTTTGTCAGGTTTGTTGATGCGATGTGCGACGGACTGCAACCGCCTCTTAATTGTTAACCAGAAATTTTCAATTAGATTGAGATCAGGAGACTGTGGGGGCCATTCTGTGTCAATAATACCATTTTCTTCTTTGTAGTTTTTCACACTTCTGGCCCGATGTACGGGAGCATTATCGTCCATGAATACATATGGCTCGTTTGTAGAATGATGGGTAAGGAAGGGCTATAACTGGCCAAAGATTGTTTTCAAGGATGTCTATATACTTTGCAGCATTGATGTTACCATTTACTGGGGTAAGAGTTCCAATCCCCTTGAAGGTGACACCCCCCCATATCGTACTTTACGTTGCGAGGGCCGACACACTAAATGCATCCAGTTTACTTCATCGCCCTTTCTCCACACATACACACGCTTGTCACCTCCAATAACAACCTTACATTCGTTAGAAAACATGTATTTACTCCAGTTATTATCAACTGTGAAATTCCTGCGTTCCTGACACCACAATCTGCGTTTTTTTCAAGTTAACCTCCCGAATTGACACTGATTTTTTGGCAATCCGTCGTTTATATCCTTAGAAATTGAATTTTCTTCTGACAGTTCCCTCACTGAATGTTCGAGTCTTATTTTTGTTAAATTTGTTTGTAATATTTCCCAATGTTGCCCGACAATTGTTTTTGACACACCTGATTAACGACGTTCGATCACGATCAGTGAATAGTCTTCTTCGACCGCTTCGCAGCTTTCGTGTCAGTTGTCAATTCATGTGATATACGACCCATTGGCGCGGACGATTGCCAGAGGGGAAGTAAACAAGCAGACAATAACTTGTAGGCATGTCACGTGACAGGCACATGACAGGGAATCTATTTTTAGAAAATCAGTGTTTCTAAACACTGAATGTGTCTCACGGTGCGAATCTAAACGGCGCATTCGTTTTAGCAAAAACAACGTCATTTCCAAAATCACGAATACTTATGGCCAGGTACTGTATGTTTCGTTATGTATCCCTATACTGTTTACTGCAGTATAAGTGAGATCTGATTCAGTTTGCGAATGACCAATATTTTGAAGCTGATTTAAGTTCTACTTTAGTAAACTGCTACCTAACAGATTGATCTCAGATTAAAACATATCATTCCAAATTCGTTTAATCCTATTTCAGGTACTAAGAAATGATGAAATTTTACATATTAGATATAAATCTATCGGTACCAGTTCGACGTGTGTGGTCATGAGTTAACTAACATAGTGATTATATATTTTTAACCATTACATGTGTCATTAAGCATCATTTATGCCATTATAATGTTCTCTGATCCATTCCATCATACAGCATTTATTTCATTCAATGTTTTGAAGCTCACATGATGACATGAAAAATGTTACTGTTCCAGTTAATTTTGAAGTGTAAAATGATTTTCATTCTTCAAGTGTTCCAACCAATATAGTCATTATGGTTACAAATGGCCTGATTTTTAACACCTCTCAAGTAAGATGTTAATTCAGGAGTGTACGCACACACGTCCACACAAAACATCTGTAATTTGTGAATTCTGTTCGGACGAAAAAAAAATATCTAATTTGATAAGAATTATTATATAAATTATCTTCCCTCACTCTGAGAGAAGCATGGCATAATTCGTTCACTTTTTCATAATTTTATCTGCATGAAAGGAATTATAAAAACTGTGAAACAAACCACCGTATATTACCATTTCACCAACATTGCGATATTGACCATGGAATAATGTTAAGTCCAGTCTGTTTTCAATATCACACATACATACAAACAGCTTAACACAAAACAATATGCAATCAACCAAATTCCATACAATACAACTTTTACCGCCTGTGCATACCACACTGTTGACGAATCTCTCAGGCGTATTAGAGCAATAATCACATCGCGACATGTCAAACAAACCTACAGCTCTGTAGATTTAAATAACTTACCTTTTTAATAAGAAAAGCAAGATTTATGGATGTCAACTTCTTTATTGTGAATAACACGACGTTTCTGAGCGTATGCTTGCTCCTTCATCAGGTGAAAATCGGGTCGCAACAAGTGTAGAAGTGAGCACAGCTCACATACCCCCGCTTCCCACTTTGGGACATGGAAATGACTGATATTGATATATATAAAGTGACAAGGATCAGCAGCTCACAAGACTTTCTCCTTGACTCTACTAAACTTTATATACATGTTAGATAATAGTTTTGCCATGTACTGATTACAGTAATAATTTATGGAAACATTTTTATTTTTTTTATCTCATGGAAACCTGACATACAATTGAACTTGACTGTCTCATGTTGCACACAATGAAGTGGACGTAGATGAAGATTGTTATTTTTTAGCACATGGCATATCTGTGGGTCATGATTAACTTGTGTATTAAGTTTGGTGAACCTAGCATGTATAGTTTCGATGATATGCTGTGGCCAGGTAACCATCAAACACATTTTGCACAAAGTCATGTTTCCATGGAAACAACAACAAAACAAATTCTGAATTTTTTTTTTATTAAAATAGCAAAAGGCACATCAATGGGTAATGATTAACATGTGTGTGAAGTTTGGTGAACCTAGCATGTAAACTTTATGAGATATGCTCCGGAAAACCATCAAACACATTTGGCACCAAGTCGTGTTTCCATGGAAACAGCAAAAAAACAAAATTCTGAAAAAAAATTAAAAGGCACATCAATGGGTAATGATTAACATGTAAACTTTAAGAGATATGCTCCGGACAAACTTTCGGGACGGACGGAAGGACAGAATGAACACTATATACCCCTGTTACTTCGTAGCTTTTTGATTTAAGAAATAGTTTGACCTTGAATTTGGTGAGAAGCCTGATATAATAGCATTGTTTGAATGTAAGGCTAACTAAGTACATGGGGAGTCTTGAGGAGAGTAGTGAGCTTGGGTTCACTACTAGTCAATCTGAATGTTGTATTAAATGGCATTCTTTTGATAACAAATGAAAACATTTTAAGTTTAACCATCTGCCAGTGGTACAAAATGTTAGGACTGAAATAACGAAGTCAATGTACGTCTTTATATTTTGTCTTATAATCCTAATTAGTATATTATCATATTTATATGCATTTTGAAACTTAATAAAATGCACATGATCTGCTTATACTTAGTGAATTTATAACATGACTGTAATATCTAGACATCTTATAGATTGCCAATGTGTATTATATTTCACACACGCCCAAGTGCGACCTAGTGTATGTTGTCTGTGTCATTACACTTCACGGCAGAACATTTTTATTCTGTTGAATGTCATAACAAAAAAATACAAACAAAGTGCAAATATTAAAATTAAAACAGACTAAAGTTATAGCAACAATATCAGGCTATTACCTTGTTCAGGGATTGTATCAATCAATATCAACATAAAGGAATGAGATGCCATTCACCTGCAGCTGACAAAGAATCCTGTTCCATGTCATGTGTCTTTTAACAGTCTAATATGTGAAAAAGTGATATGTCGTTATAACTAGTGGTCACTGCGACTGTGTAAAGTGTGTAAGTTAGCCATGATTGAAGATGAATTTCATTTTGTTATGATATGTCCAGCGTATGAAAGCTTAAGCTCTAAATACCTACTGCTTGTCTGTACATCCTATAATATAAAAACTAGTTTCATCAAAGTTTCAGGTTTTTCACATAGGTGTATCCCATTGGTCAACCAAGATAGCACGCCTCACAACTAATTGCATGATGTCCACCATTCTTTAAACAAGAGTCATCAGAAGATGACATATCCCCCCGGGGGACTCATATATCTGCCAAGTTTTGCTGAAAGATATTAAGACGTTTTCCAGTTGTGCTTCGGAAATGAAACCTACCCCTCACTTTTGAGACTAAGTCCGAATTGTTTCCATGGAAACTGAGAAAATAATAAATCACAAAAATCTGTAAATAGCAAAAGGCACCACTTCAAGATCTGCCTCACATATCTGCCAAGTTTTGCTGAAAGATATTGAGAAGTTTTCGAGTTGTGCTCCGGAAACGAAACCCACCCCTCCTTTTGGGACTAAGCGTTTCCACGGAAACCGGGAAAAATAAAAATGACAAAAATCTGCAAATAGCAAAAGGCACAACTTTAGGATCTGTTTGATATATCTACCAAGTTTTGTTGAAAAATATTATACGGTTTTTGAGTTTTGCTCCGGAAACAAAAGCAATCCTTACTTTTTGAGACTAAGTCCAAAATGTTTCCATGGAAACCAATAAAAATTAAAATGCCAAAAATCTGCAAATAGCAAAAGGCACCACTTAAGGTTCTGTTTGATATATCTACCAATTTTTGTTGAAAAATATCGAACGGTCTTTGAGTTATGCTCCGGAAACAAAATGATGACGGACGGACGGACAGACGGACGAGGCGACGACTATATCCCACCGCATTACATGCCGGTGGGATAAAAAGTAATTTAGTTAGCCAATAATGAGCAATCAATCAATGTATTGGCGGTTAAACCTTTGAAGGAAGGACGTTGTTTCCACAAAGAGACTTTACGACAGGGTGTGTTCAGTATAGATTAGTAAATCTAAATACATAAACACTACCTTTTGACAAATCCAATGTGCAGGATAAAAGCAATTAATTAATCAGCATGTTATCGGTTACTCAGCTGATAATTCCTCTTGCTGCACTTCCATGCGCATATTACATAAGATGTAAAATATTTGCCACATCAGACCTCAATTTATAATGATGAGTATTTACTCCAGACACAAGAAATGCCAACCTTTGTCGGGTAATCATTGTGGTGTTATCTGACTGACTGACTGAGTTTGGTTTTATGCCGCTTTTAGCAATATTCCAGTAACATCACGGCGGGGGACACCAGAAATGGGCTTCACACATTGTACCCATGTGGGGGATTCGAACCCGGGTCTTCGGCGTGTCGAGCCAACGCTTTAACCATTAGGCTACCCCACCGGCCCCATTGTGGTGTTATCACTAATTATACCTGTTATATATTCATTAACTGACCATCAAGTGAACGATGACAAATACATGTGTAGGTTTACCACCAAACAAGGTTTACAGCAAGAGAGAAGTAATCGCTGTATTGCATGCAAGTTTGATTGTCTGAAAAAAAACCTTATGGGCTGACACTGTTTTGAGGATACGAACGGATCGAACTTCATTGTTACATAAGAAATATATATAAGCATTTGCTGTGTACTTAGTTAAAAACTGTATATACCTAAGTAAAATTTCAGAGTTTTTAGCAATGGCAAAGTGGGGTTGTTTAGTTTATCGATTCAAATATATCAAATGTGTGTTTTTGATATCTTAGCATACGTAATAGACATCATATTTTTACATGATTAAATATTGAGGTAAAAACACAGAAATAGGATCAAATTGGATCAGTCACTGTACCATCCAAACATTTGAAAATCTGAAAAAGCCTACACTACTGGAATACTTTGTTACAATCAGACAAGAACTGTAGGGGATATTTTCAAATAACGGCATCTGATGGGCATCCACCCTTCCTAATGTCCCACTGATTAGGTTGAAGAAATTCTGCCAAGGTGGACAGTAGCCCAGTCCCCATGTCCGTCACGGTCGAGGGAGAAGGGGCTGACCAGTTTGCAGCTAGGTTTCGTAATTAGACTGTTGGCTGGAAACATTATTGCTCTGGATCAGTGGCCCTTTAACTGCCTTGACTCACTCATTAACAAGGCAGTAGTCAGTAGGCCTTGTTAATTGGTGAATCTTAAAGGTCACATGCGATGTAAAACACAACTTCGCAGATTCTGATACCTTTCGTTATGGACTTACCGAAACAAATCATCAAAAGTGCAAATACAACTTATAAAGTTGAAAAATAACGCGATGAAAAAAACCGTGTGAAATCGGAGTTCAAACGATTCACTAATTTTCCCCCAGCGCTTGGTGAAAAGTGGTTTCAACAGCTGGGCTGCGCTGCGCCGGGCTGCGCTCATATAGCACACGTGCAGTGAAATAGGTTCGCGCAGCTTGGAAGCGGGTTGTCCGGTGAATACTCGGTGAAGGCTTTGGTGTGAGCTATTTTTCTAATGTTTTGTTGCTATTTCACAGGCGCAAGCTTTTTATATGTTATGACAGTAGATTACCGATTTAACTGTTTATATAATTTCATTTGTCTATTTCACCACATGTTCTTCTTACCGAGTCACTTTTTTCAGTTCGATACTTAAAAGCAATGTCATTATTTTAGCATTGACAGAATTTCTAACTGTGATATAAATTTGTCGTTGTCACAGACAAAACTCAATGTCTGTTTTATTGACACCTATGTGTCTGCCTGCCTGTCTGCTAGTGACAATATTCAATACACAACTTCGATCACTGACCACATGCAATTTGAACTTAACACCTATCAGGCTATACACCATAAACAAAACGCATTGATTTATGGCCCGAGTTCGGTCTCTGTCACATTATGTCACAGACAGGCAGGTGTGATACTTGTACACATGACATATTATGATGTCTGTTGATTGCCAAATGCTATACACAAAAAATGAGTATGTATTTACAAACCCCAACATCTCTATATACACACACAATGAGTCGTGAGGGCATCTGCAAATGAACCAGCCGTTATAATTGAGTGCACACCCACCTGCTCTGACTGGGTTCGGGATCCCGGCTGCTTCGTTTCTTGGGAAGTAAACCCAAGTACAAAATATTGCACTTTTGATTTGCGATTGTACGCTTATACTTTTGTTTATATGTTTTTTCATAATCAGCAATGTATATTATATGTCATGAATAAGTGATAATTGTGTTTTAATTATGTATCATTTTTTGGTTGCATGTGACCTTTAACTGCCTTGACTCACTCATCAATTATCAAGGGAATAGGTCTGGGGGCGTACACAGAACAATCATTTACCATCACCCACCAGTTATCTCCCCTTGTGGACATTTCCAAAATTGTAAATCTCATATTTCCAAAATTGGAAATGTCTTGGAAACATCATCTTACCAAGGCATTTCCAAGCTTGTAAATGTGGATTTTTTTTCCCAGTGTATATTGCCAAATTGGACGATAAGAGTGTATGAATATCGATCACGCAATAGCTAGGATTATACCTTGAGTGGGTTGCTTGTAACAGTCCTTTAACAGTATGAAAATGTTTGTTATTATGTGTAACATTTTCATCCTGCTTCATGAATGTAGATTCTATGTCACAAAGCCTGCCTTATTATCCACGTTAGTTAGCAGTCTACTATCACTATTAGAGAACAATGTGAGTAGGTAAATCTCCATAATTGTGCACCCTGGCACGATGGGGGTTAAAACTGTTATTTTGGAAAACTACAGTTAACCCGTACTGTTTGCAGGTCCCGTATGCGACTTAGACTAAAGAGGAGCCTGAGTTCTTAGCTCAGGTTCACATGGATGTAGAGGACGAGGACTGCAGCGACAGGTCAGCTTGGGATGAGGGGTCCAGGAGGAGGGGACGAGGGGGACCAGGAGGAAGGGAGCAGGGACGCTCAGAGGAGAGCAGACACAGTTGGAGGGGAGCACGCGGTACATGAGTCGACCCGTCCGAACCGGAAAAACACATCTGGTGAGTATGCTTTCAATCACCCTCGTTTTACCAAATTGTAGATAAGTTTTAAATTCCCAAATAATTATTAGACTATCATTTTAGCTCTATATGAAATATGTGGACTACACGTATCCACTTTAATCTTATGAACTGTGTCGACTATCTTCTTTAACCCTAAGACTATAATCTTAATCACAAGCCTTGGCTTGGCTACTTTGATTCTTACTAAACGTAAGACATAGACATAGACATAGACTGAAATTGGTGATAGTGCTCCTATTCTGGAGCAGAACTTTAAAAACCTTTCAATACTCTCCTTCCACTTTTCTATATACACACCTAAATATTTGACATAATCATAACTCGTAGGCATAATCATGAGTATTTTGCCATTGCGGGGGATATTGATGACTTTGTCTTCTTGTTTTTCACTGTTTTTAACAATGTTTCATTTCACTCAAACTCAACAAATATTGAATCAGTTGCTTCACTGCATGTTCCAACATGTCGTTTAAAGTGCCCACTAAGCACACAAAAAGTTGCATTTACCTTAGTGTATAAATGACCTCACCACGTTTATATACGACTATCAAATTTTAGGGTGTTCCCTTATTTTTTGTTTGTAGTATATCCACAAGTCTTGCAGATAAATATTGAACGGTTTTTGAGTTATGCTCCGGAAACGAAGCCCACCCCTCCCTTTAAGACTAAGTCCGAATCGTTTCCATAGAAACCGGGAAAAATAATGCCAAAAATCTGTAAATAGCAAAAGGCACCACCTTAGGTTCTGTTTGATATATCCACCAATTTTTGTTGAAAAATATTGAAAGGTCTTTGAGTTACGCTCTGGAAACAAAATGATTATAGACAGACGGACGGACGGACTAGGCGTCAACTAAATCCCAACCGGGGGGATAAGAACTTTGACTGTAAGTCCTGATAATTTGTACTAATGCACACACTCGGAATCTGTGATCTACAAAATGAAAAACTAATGCAGATAACTCACCTTGTTTTTGTTTTTGAGAACAGACTGTGCTCGCAACTTGTATCTTTCAAATTCCTCCTTGACATGTTCTAATTCTTCTTTGTACTGAGCACATTGTGGATGCTGGCTGTCTGTCTTTTCATTATCCCCCTTCAACAGACCTACAAAAAAGGGTTAATATATGATGATAATGTGGTAATTAAAATAGTTCCCTATTTTGATACTCAAACAATAATATTAGTGTTTTTTTCTCAAAATTTGCCCAACACAGCAAGTCAACTAAACAATTACTTTGCAGGTTTTAATACATCAGACCCTACTTAATCAGGACTTTTAGGCCAAAACTAAGTTTAGAAAGCAGAAATATGGTAAAAGACAATTTAAATGACTGACAAAATTGTCCCCCACAACAAATTTTCAACTAGGGGAATTCATCTGGCTGGGTGTTTGACCTGCAAAATTTTAACAACTGGGTCACCCAGTCAGTCCAGTCAGCCTGCTTCTATCGTAGATGATTTAATTCCATTACAGAGCTTTTTTGTACACTGGAACTGGTGTCTTCACACACCTTATGTGTTAACTTCAGCCTTGGCCAAGTCACGTTTTTACTTTGTATATGAAGTGTACCTCTCCTTTTTCAAAATATTGTGGATCGGCCTTTGCTTTTTGATAACCTTGTCCACAATTAATGTCAAGTGTAAGCCTTAGTGGTTTGTCACAAACCAAAAGTAGACCTTATGGATATTCAGCACATATTACTACAAATGGAAAATAAAACCTGTTTAGGCTAAATATGTTTTTTACATTACAACCTCATTTCACAAACAGTAGCATGAAACAGTGACATTATCCACAAGATAATATAGGTAATCAGGGTATCTTGTACTAATCAGCACAAATATAAATCCAATCACATTCAGATGGCGAGGCAAACAATGGTCAAAAGTACACACGAGTCCACTGAAGGTCCATAAACACAGACTGTCCATAAACACAGACTGTCCATAAACACAGACTGTCCACAACAAAATAGCCCATGGATGTAATCCTGTATACGATGTGTAACAGTTCTGTTTGTTGCTGTCATCCAGAATAGTGTAGTACTGCCTTATATGTCTTGAAGAACTCTTGGATACGAAACCAGAAGTGGGAGCAATTTCCCCCCCGAGTCTGAAATAATAAAATACCTACTCACTAGCCATTGTCTGCAAGTAACAATGTTAAAAGACAAATATTGTCTAATCTTCAACACCAAGGCGATAACTCTACTTATGTAACTTTGTTAAAGAAACCAGAAACGTACTCACAAAAAGGCCTTCTCCTCGACAGTATGAAGTTAAACTGTGTTAAATTCAACTTATCAAGACTTTATATAGCAGATTTTGAGAACCAAATGCATGCTTTCAACATGAATGAAATGGTGTGTTTGGGAGATCTGTTCCCACATTAAGGCTGACATCCACCTCTACCAAAATACACCCTGAATAACTTTCATAAAAGAGCATGAAATGTGACAAGGTTACAACAATGAAGCTGTCAGGATTTAATCCCTGGCAGGAACTGTCTGGAAAAGGACTTGGGGCAGAAAGGGCTCTACTGCACCCAAACAGGATAGTAGAAATAAAAACCTAGTTCAGATTGTTGATTGTTTTTTTTAGATAGCATAATCTCAGGGATGAGATCAAAGGCAGTGTCCAATGCATACAACAAAGCACGGAATATTAATTTTTCTGTATGAGATGAACAAATAGGAACAATTACAAGTATTGTTAGTAAATTTACCTCTGGATTATGGTTGCCATATTCCTGTGGTTACCCCATTTCTGGTGTCCCCCGCCGTGATATTGCTGGAATATTGCTAAAAGCGTTGTAAAACCAAAATTCACTCACTCACTCCTGTGGTTACCACAGACACATACAGAAAAAATGGAAATAAAAACGATCCCTACATCATAGTTCCCCTGGTGGTATGCCTCACGGACCAGTCAGTATCACACCGCATGCAGACATCTCTGATCAACCGCTCGCCCCCCTCTGGAGCCGGACTGACGTAGACTGGAAGCTTGTTGTTGCGAAGGAAGATGCGTGTCTAGATCTAAGTGTCTGTTTTGGTTGATCTGTCTGTTTTGAATAAAATCCTGAATTGACGTCAGCAATCCTAGGAATGACATCCAATATCATAGAGAGGTTGGAGGCACACTGATGAGGTGTAGAATCCTGTCTCTCAGGATTAACCAGCGGTCCGGAGGAGGATAAATGTAAGACACTCGAGAGTCCAAGATTGCCCTCCAAAACTTGATTCTCGAAGTTGGGACTAACTCTGATTTGTCGGGATCCACAATTAGTCCAAATGAGTAAACACATGGACGATGAACTTGGTTTGCTTGAGTAGAGTTTGCGTGATAGTATTCCTTGCTAAAAAATCGTCCAGGTATCCATGAATGGCAATGTTCCTGCGATGGAAGAAATTTAGTATGGGATTAATCATTACGGTGAAGAGCCAAGGCGCTAGGGATATTCCAAACAGAAGCACTTGAAACTGAAATTTCCTGCCGTTGACTGCAAATCTGAGATATTTCTGGGAATGTGTAAATATGCATCCTTCAGATCTATGCTTATGAATTTCGAGTGAGGATGGATGAGTGTGCGGAGGTTGCTGAGCGACTCCATCTTGAAATTTGGTGGTTTTAGGAGAACACAAGAAAGACACACTGGAGAGTAAAATCCCTGGAAGGTATCGTCACTGGGAAGCTCTACTACTGCCCGTTTCTCCAAACATTTACCTATTGTCTGAGTCGCTGAAGAAAAGCGTGGTTCCTGCAGGAAAAATCTCCGTCCTGTGGGCTGAGTCGTCACTGGAGGTAAACTCTCCCATGGTAGAATAAATCCCCTCTTCACAACTGAGAGGATCCAAGGGACCGGCATGATCTGTTTCCAATTGTCTATGTACAGGGAAAGCCAGCCCCTCCACAGGGGAAGGAGTAACTGGTATCATAAAAACGTGGTCTAGCTCTGTCCGTTGACATAACTGGGTTGTAAGGCTGAGAGGAAAGCGTTTTTGGAATGTGCACGTCAAAATCCCTTCCGCCCCCTCTTGAGGAGCGAAAGGAACCTCTACCCCTATTTCTTCCTCCGAAACTCTGTCACTGCTCCCAGGAAGGTGAGGTGAGGTGAAATTGGGTTTAACGTGGTGCTTGAGAATATTTTGCTCATATGACGACGTGCATGCGTGTGTATGTGTATGTGCGGCTGCTTGTACTAGCCCAGACTTAAGCTGGTTTTATAGTGCTAGCCCACTGAGATACCATGCCGCAGTGAAGCATGAATACCCCACTCAGACACATTATACTGACTCCTAGCCGACCAGTCCTTGTTGTACACATTAATGCCGAGCGCCAGACAGGGACCAACAAGTACCATATTTTAACGTCTATTGGTATGACGCGGTCGGGGATCAAACCCGTGACCTTCCGCTCTCCGGGCGGATGCTCTCAGCTCCCGGGAAGGAACAGAAGATGAGCGTGATCTGGATTCCAACATACGGTCAAAGGTTGATTTTTGTAAGGAGTCTGAACGACCCAAGGAGGAGGAGCGAGGCATAGTAGATGATGGAGTACCTCTCCTACTTCTAGGAACACTCCTGAATCTATTTGAGTAAGCATAGCAGAGGCTAATTGCTGATTAAGATTACGCGAGGTCACAGCATCCTTAGTCGTAATGGCCTGATGACACTATCCATTAATGATGGCAGAGGAGTTAATGGGTTGCTGAAAAATTTGATCCTTCAAGGAATCTGGGAGGTTCCTCACAGAGTGTAAATGTTGAGAATGAACCACGGCAGTCAAACGTCCTAAGGTGTTAACTTGGGCATGCATAGCATCACTGACCCCCTGGTAAACTATGTCAAGGAAAGAGTGCACTAAGGCAACTTCGTGGGCTGACATCGCATCTAAGGTATCCTTCTTTACCCTCTTTGCCCTAACACGGCCACAAACCAATTCACATATGATAATATATCTACAGAAGATCTAGCTGCCATATCTAAGTCACGCACATCCTTGTTAGATAGGTGAATGAAGTGTTCCTTAGGAGCCTTAGAGTCCAGTTGAGAATAATCATCATCCAGCTCAGGTGGAGCAGAGGGTAATAATCTTCATGAATACTGTAACCCAGGTTTTGAGAGATCCTAGGTAAACCAGATACATTCATGGTCTTGGCAAGTTGCGTCTTGACTATAGATGAGTGAGGTAGTGAAAGTCCAGAGGCACGTTCAGATGGAAGACATCCCGATGTCCCCAGCTAATTTCCAGCGCTGGTTGATTAGATGGAGGAGGCACCGTAGATGATGAAGTTCATGAATGAGTTCAATTTTCTCTCTAAGAGACCATTCTGGTACGTAATCATTAGCTTCCATATCCATGGAAGGGACTGTCAACATACCGTCTCTCAAAACAATGGCTGGATGCGAAACGGGTAAACACTAGATACGTGCTGATCCAAAAAATCCGGGACTAACGGAATAATAGGAGGGTTGTCAATATCCAGTGACCTGGACTCCCCAGCCACCTGATCAAACGTGCCGCCCGTGGCTAAGGTTGAGGACCACTGAGCTTCACATGCCATCCAAGCCAGCCGTGCTAACCCTAACTTGACCCTGGGCTGACCCAGTGACAGCTATGTGATCAAAGACATCCGAGTCAAGACCACCCGACCTGTGCAGCATGCTTGCGTCGTGTGCAGCTTCAGACGGCAGGAGATGACCCTCTCTCTGGGACAGAACTCCTGAACCGCCTACGGATACTAATCCTAGACTGTGTCCCAGGCCGACATCTTACGGGACTAATCGACTTAAAGGGGCACTCATCCGGAGCAAATACTGTAGACTGGTTGTTGCTTTTGTTATTGTTTTTCTCCCGTGAGTACCCGGATGATATCCCAGAATTCTTGACTGGTTCATGACCTCTGCTGCACCACCCGCATGTGCAATTGATAGTATAAGTATAGACTGATCAACAAAGAGGAAATCTTTTTTTACTCAATAATATTTCCATCTTCATTATTTTGATAACAATTGAAAACATTTTGATCGTGGTAAAACATGTTTGGACTGAAAAATAACAAAGTCAATGTACGTCTATTAGTGGTGGTCCGATTAATTGAAATAAACGAAGAATGGTCGCAATCACTAAACGACCAAACAATCAATCATGTTTTCTCATAATCGACCACAAACAATTCTGGAACATTCGTTTGCATTAACAATATATTTCACAAGGTTGGTTTTGTCTGTTACATTTCATAAGCACTACAAGATCATTCCAAGTCAGGATTGAATTTATCTTGAAGACTCAAGGAAAATTATGTTTCTAACATACTAGTCCTCCTCTAAAGATGTGAAATTTGAAAATGCATTTTGTGCAATTTGCTAAAAAAACTCTCAAGAACTACATGTTTTTTCTATATTTTTTTGTGCATTAACAAACATAACCAGGAAAATTTGATAAATGACGCTAATCAATTATTTTCGATGATTGATCGATTGTAATGAACCAATCATCAATTATGAGATTTTAAACAATTCCCAACACTAACGTCTATATATTTTGTCTTATAATCCAAATTAGTTTATTATCATATCTATATGCATTTTTAAACCTAATAAAATGCACATGATCTGCTTAAACTTATTGTGAATTTATAACATGACTGTAATAACTAGACATTTTATAGCTTGCCAACGTTGATTATATATTATTTCACAAACACGCCCTTAGTGCGACCTAGTGTATGTTGTCTGTCTCATTACACTTTACGGCTAAAAAAAAAAAAGATTCTGTATAATGCTACAACAAATGAATAAAAACAAAATGTAATTTTTTTATTAAAATTGATATTTTATACTTATCCTGACTCCTCCTTAATTGCTTGTCTCTTTCTTCTTGCGAATGATAGTGGAACACTTGAATCCCCTTTTGAAGCTCCCTTAAAAAAAGCGGATGTAAAATCACTCACCCAGTGTTATCTCCCTTTTGACTCTTTTGGCGAGAAAATGTGTCACATGATCCGACATGCCCCTCACTCTCTCCTGAATAAGCGCCCGACACCTGGATTACAGGGAATCCAGAGTGCCACGAGGGGAGGTTGGGAGGGCTTACCTCATGAGTCAGGATAAGTATAAAATATCAATTTGAATAAAAAAATAACATATTTTTCCTTATCCTGACTCATGCTTAATTGCTTGTAGAATCCAACAGAAATGGTGGTGGGTCAAGCCACTCTGGATGCCATGCTGATTTACGTCCTGCATACCCCCCTGAGGGAACTTCTTATAGTACTATGCTGATCCTTCCTTCCAGCTTCCTCTGATGAGTTTGGGGGGACCACAACTTAACAGATTTTCCGGAACCGCTTCTCCTGACAATAAAAGTGGATTTATACGCCTCCATGACTTGATTTCCGCATCAAATGGAGAAGTGACCCTTCTTCATATATGAGTAAGTCCTTACAAGTATAGGGTCTGTCACTCATGCTAGCCTATCTTAGTGTCGGCTTTTACAAGTCATGTGATAACGGGTGAGATTCATCTCAGCGTCTTTGAGGAACCGTCAATTGTTGTGCTACAACAAGAGGCCAAAACTGGTGGATACCGGAGACATCCTCGGTAGCAATGTCTCTGAGGTAGTGGTTGGCAAACACCGTCTCCGACTTCCAGAAGCAGCCCTCCATTATTGTCGAGATGTAGCAGTTTCCATGTAGAGCAAGTGTCGATGCCAGTGCTCTGACTTCATGAGGATTGGAAGCTCGTGGTGGCTCGAGTCCTGCTGCTTTATAGGCTCTCAATATGACGGCTCTCATCCATATTGATATTGTTGTACGTGAGATTTCCGTAGGTGTCTCAAGCAGGCACTTTGAATTTCTTTTGTTGGTCTTCCAACTTAAAGGAGCGTAGTAGAGCTAGTATCTCTGGTACTTTAGTCAGTTTCACACCCGTCTTCATGGTGATAACTGTACTGAGGGCCGCTAGGTATGTAGAGAGTGTTGAACCTTTTAACCGCCTTGTTTGTCTTAGATGACAAAGATATTCCGCCACTTGAGGATGTGTTGCTTCCATTACCGTGAAGCCCTTCCTTAAAGCGTATTTCTCAAAACTCTGCCACTTGTCGCCGTACAAGCTGCGGGTTGATCTACGTAGAGCTAATGTGACTGCATTCGCTGCTCTGGCGGAGGATCCTCTTTTCTTCAAGCAAGTTTTAATACGTTCCATGCTATAGTTGGAATATTGTTGGATTGCCGTGTACTTGCTTGGTGTGCGGATGAATTAGTAGGTTCGGCCACTCTGGAAGTTGTAGGGTTGGATTTCCGAGTTCTTTAATGAGGATGGGAAACCACACCCTCGCTGGCCAGTAGGGCGCGACCAAAATCAGATGCAGGTTCTTCGTCTGCTTGATTTTCTGTAATACCTGCGGTATTAGAGCTGGAGGTGGAAACGCGTATGCGTTTAGTCCTTCCCAGGGTGTGCTTAGAGCATCTGTTGCCCATGCTTGTGGATCCGGAATCGGAGAGATGAATGTTGGTATTTGTTTGTTGAACCTTGTAGCAAACAGGTCTATCAGAGGAGATCCTATCCTCTGTATGATGCATCTGAATGAGACAGGGCGTCTGCTATCACATTCTTGGCTCCGGGAATGTGACATGCTTTCACATCGATGTTCAAATTGTCTATTATGCTGAACAGATGAAAGCTGAGATCTAGAAGTTTCGTTGACCTTGTTGATCCTTGTTTGGTGACGTAGAACGCCACTATGGAGTTGTCCGTATGGATCATCAGTTGTGCGTTCCTTAGTATGCTGGACCAGTGTAGTAAGGCGTTTATTATTGCTTTCATCTCGAACATTCGACTTCCGAGTCCACCATAGGAGATATGGTTTTAGTCCGTCCGGTAGTCCGAAGGAGTCTGGACTGTCTAGATGAGCGTTCATAAACACTTGTAGTGGCCGCAGTTGTAGTCTTCCTCTGCGTGTCATGTCTTGTGCTGACATGAGAAGACCAAGTAGGCTCTGCCAACTTCGTAGTAGTAACGGAGAGAGTAGTGCCTGTATCTTGACCCAACGCTCCTCTGGGACGACTATGCGATTCTGCGATGTGATGAACCGTATTCCTAGGAATTGCAGATCCTGTGTGGGTTCTAGTTCCGATTTGAGGAGATTACTAGCCATCCTAGTTGTGTGAGTAGCCTGATTGTGAAGTCTATAGCTAGTTGCAGTTCGGGTTGACTGGGATCTTGATGAGCTTGAATCCCGTCGTCCAGGTAAAACGCACTGTGTAGACCTCGATGATGTAGATAAGTGATGATTGGCTTTGTCACTCGAGTAAACAACCAGGGGGCCGACGATATTCCAAATGGTAGAACCTTCCATTGGAAATGACATCCGTTGAAGAGGAATCGTAGGTATTTCCTTGAGTCCGGATGTATCCGGATGTGAAGATACTCATCCTGTAGATCTATGCTGGCGAGGTAGTCTAATGGACGTACGAGTTGTTGCAGTTGAGGCAGATGTATCATTCTGAACTTTGAGGGGCTGCATAGATAATCTTGGTTGAATTTCCTCATGTTGTATATAAGTCGGAACTTTCCCTGGAATTTTTCTTTGGTACTAAGAAGATTGGGGAGTAAAAAACGGGCGTGACGAATTCCTGTTTTATTTCTTCGATCGCTTCCTTCTCGAGTAGAGTTGTGATAGCGTCAAGTAGGTTCTCCCTCTGGTCGGCAGCATAGTTGTGGGCCAGAGAGTTGCTTGTCAATGGTGGTACTGCTTGTAGTTGTATCTTGTATCCTCTGTGTAGGATCTGGGATACGCAGTCGTCCTGAAGTATTCCCCAATTCTTCCAGTAGCGTTGTAGACATCCGCCCACTGTTGAAGGTTGTATGGGAACGGCTGGGGGTGGAAGACTCCAGTCGTTCCGAACCCGTCCTTCAGCGTCTAAAGTTCCTGGCACCTCTGGATGCCCTGCCTCTTCCGGGGTTACCTCTGGGAGCTCCGGTTGGGCGATGAAAAGAATCCTTGCCTCCTCAGGATCCGCCATATTTCTTTTCCCTGGCTCTTTGTATTCCTGTAAACTTCGACTTGCCAGAGTAGCGTTGCGAGGTCTGATGGATAACACTGGCTAGTGTGTCGATGGACTTGATCATCATTACCTCCCTTGACTCTTTCGTTACTTCCTTGGCTACCTCCTCAATTTCCCCTGCGAAGATAGATGGTGCTGACCACGGAGCTCTGTATAGTGACTTGGTGAAGCGTTCACTCCACGTACAGGAAGACAGCAATCCTTGTCTTCTTAATAGTGTCAGTCCTGCTGACGTAGATGCCAGACGTTCAGACATGAACTGATGATCTTTCTTCTGGGCTAGTAATGCCGAGTAGATCATTCTATCTTCTTCCATGGTCGAGTTCCTAAACTTCGCGATGAGAGTTTCGTTGATGGCTCTTGAAGGTACGTCTGGTAGTTGTGTCTAGTTGTGCCAACTTCTTATCTTCCACTTTGTAAGTCCTGGCTCGGGAGTCGTTGATGATCTTGTAGTTCTCATCTATCTCGGGGGCCTTCGTGAAGGGTTCCATGTGGTGAAGAGAGAACTTCTTAGCGTTGAATGGTGGGACGCTCTGACTCTGGCACCTCATTGCCTTCCTGAAGGCTGTGCTGAGGTTTCCTGGTACATCTGTGACAGGATCGATGGGTGGAAGAGTAAGTGTATCGAAGTCCTCGTTAGACATCCTGTACTGAAACGCTTCATTATCCTCTTTAGAAGGTGATGCAAGTTCTAGTCCATTTGCCATCCAAGATTTAATCTCTGATTCCCCCATCATCTTCAGATTTGGAGGCTTCTAGTTCTGGAGATGGTTGCCATTCTGTCTCTTTCCTGCGTGGAGATCTGCGTGGAGATCTGCGTGGAGACCTGCATGGAGACCTGCATGGAGACCTTCGTGGACACCTGCACGGAGACCTTCACGAAAGCGACGAATTCGGAAAAGGATCCTCCTTGGAGTCTTGAGATGTATCTCTGTGCCTTCGCGAAGGTGTAGATTCTCTTCTATGGTGCCTTTGCAAAGGCTCCTGATGGCTGTCCATATCGGAGGAGGATGATCTGCGATCCTCCGGTGAACGTCTGGTTCAGCTCCTTCACGAAGGCTCCTCCGCTGAAGGTGTCGTGGTATGTCGTAGAGTGTGTGATCCTTCATGCAGGCTTCCTCCTTCGCGCAGGCTGCTATCCTCGGTGGGATGTGATCTGCAGGCTGCTTGTCCTTCGCGCAGGCTCGATGTGGATGGGGCCTCCGTCGCTGCTTTCTCCTGCGCGAACATCCGTTCCATCAGGTCCAACATCTGCTGTGTAAACTGCTGCATGAAGACCCTGGGGTTGAAGCTCTGCGCGATGACGACTGCTGCTGCTGCACTGCGGATGACGCATCTGAGAGTACCGAGGCTTCTCCCAAGGACTGCTGCACTTGTGACGAACTGCCATCTCTATGTGATGTCTGCGTTGATAAAACGACTTCTTCTTCTGAGAAGACGATGCCCTCATCTTCTTCGACTGCGATGAGGTTATAGTTGATGTAGATGACCTCTTCTGTGGAGCCGGGGCTGCCATCAGTCACAGCGACCTGCTCCGCAGACGCAGCCGGTAAACCACTGGAAAGGTGAATGTCAGTAGACAACAACAAACGGTTATCAACGCAATCATTTGGTTTAGTCATGACTTGTGAAAGTCATCTAGACCTGTCCTTGGCACGCCTAATAATGGAATATAAATAATTATTAAATTCAAATTCAGATAAATACTGACAAAGTTGACAGCGAAAGCTGGAAGAACATGGAGAAGTACAATTAGGACATATTAAACGCGGATCAGCAAACGACAACCGGTATCTGCAACGACTGCAAGCTTTCATCAAATGTAAACACGATGAAAAACATGTCAACAACGTGAATAAATACAGATAATTTGGACAAAATTTCAAACCATATTGTTGGTATATCAATCCTAAAGCCGTATACAGGTAATTTAGAAGCAAAGGCCTAACATTTAAAGGATATAACGCCGTATAGGGGACCCAGGCGCTCTCACAACCGTCCTCAAGGGTGAAGAAGGAGAGAGTGAGGGGCATGTCGGATCATGTGACACAAAGGGAGATAACACTGGGTGAGTGATTGTACGTCCGCTTTTTTGAAGGGAGCTTCAAAAGGGGATTCAAGTGTTCCACTATGATTCGCAAGAAGAAAGAGACAAGCAATTAAGCATGAATCAGGATAAGGAAACATTATAAAAATTAAAACAGACTAAAGTTATAGCAACAATGTCAGGCTACTACCTTGTTCGAGGAATGTATCCATCAATATCCACATAAAGGAATGATATGCCATTCGTCTGCAGCTGACAAAGAATCCTGCTCCATATGTCATGTGTCTTTCAATAGTCTAATATGCGAAAAAAGGATATATCATTTCAGGTTTTTCACATTGGTGTCTCATTGGTCACTCAAAATAGCACACGTGTCAACAACTTGCATGATGTCCACCATTCTTTAAAAAAGTAATTCAGACAGAAATAAAATAATTAGCAATCAATAAATTTATTGACGGTAAATCCTTTGAAGGAAGGACATTGTTTTTACACAGGCACTTTACGACAGGGTGTATTCAGTATAGATTAGTAAATCTACATACATAAACACTACCTTTTGACAAACCCACTGTGCGAGATAAAAGTAATTAATCAATCAGCGTTTATCCTTTGATCGGTGTTTGTTATCTGATGTTATCGCCCAAAGGCGCTCTGAGTCCACGCTGGAGCTAAAGGTAAGCTTTGGTAAAAAAGATGAGACTTTAACTGGCTTTTGAAAGATGCAAGTTCAGTCAGTGATCAAAGTTCTTGTGGTAGATTTTTCCAGAGTTTTGCACCATTTGAAGAGAATGCTCGGTCACCAAATGACTTTGTTCTTGTACATTGAATTTGCAGAAGAGATTGGTCACTGGAGCGAAGAGATCGGGTTGGCACATAGGGTTTTACAAGTTGTGAAAGATACCCTGGAACCAGTCCATGGATGCATTTAAAAACAAGAAGCAATACTTTGTATTGGATTCTGAATTTGATTGGGAGCCAATGGAGATTTTTCATGACAGGGGTAATATGGTCAATTTTCTTTGTTCTGCTGATCAATCTTGTGGCTGAATTCTGGACTCTCTGTAGTTTGTGTAGCACATGATTTGGAAGACCACTGAGCAACGAGTTGCAGTAATCAATGCGTGATGTTACATACGCCTGCACCAGAGCACGCGTTGTTTTCTCGTCAAGGTACCTGCGGATCAGGCCGATATTTCGAATGTGGAAATAAGTGCTGCGACAAACACTGTTGACATGTGGTTCCATGCAGAGAGATGAGTCAAATACAACACCAAGATTCTGGACTTGAGAACTTGGTGTGATTTCACAGTGCCCAATAGAGAAAGTGGGAAGATCAAGTTTTGCTGGGGTCTGAAAACGATGAGCTCGGTTTTGTCGTCATTTAATTTCAACCAGTGCGTTGACATCCAAATTGTGATACAGTCAACACATTCCTGGACTGCTGTGAATGTGAAAGAAGTTGAGGCAGAATCGAGAGGCTTGAAGGACACGTAAACCTGTGTGTCATCCGCATAAAGATGCATACTGAGGTTAAAGGACCTGACATTATCACCAAGAGGGGTTGTGTAGGCAGTAAAAAGCAACATGTGT